AGCAAGCTGATCCAGGTGTTTATACTTCAACCACGATTTGCATATTAAGGAATGTACCCCTACGGTAGCGCAAGAATGCCGGGAAGCGATCGGATAAACAAATACGGAGGTGAAAGATCATGATGATGTGTAAGAGAAGGTTCCTGAGAACAATGTAATACAAACCAAAAGCCTGTATTGTCACTAAATTGGAAGGTTCATTTCACAGTATGAAGGGAAACAGGCAGATAGTCATGCCATCGCTTATGCCATGTTGCTGTTTTCCATCACCGAGACGTTTTTATACAAACACCTTTGTTACTCTCACTTTCTATAGACACTCTTTTCCAGGTGTTCTCCTTTGAGAGGGTCGGAACATTTTTTTTTTGGAATCTGGCCGTTTATCCCCCCCCCTTCCTGTTTTTTTTTCCTTCTGGAAAAATTTACAGTAAATCACGGTAAAGTGCTTTATGGCGAACTTGCTTGTAAAAATGCTCTACAGTGCATAAAAATCAGAGTGACTGACTGAACAACGGCAGTATATTGCGCCGTCAAAACTAATATTGTGCACTGACTGCAGCAGAGAGTATTAAAAGGTTTGTGTCCTCAGTGGCCTGGCCAAGGATTATGCTGTTTCTCCTGTGCAAACCGTTTCTTAGTGTGATTCACAATTATGCAAATTTGTCCTCAATTTAACATCAACCATTCATCTGCTCGGCGGATGCTTGGGCAAGTTAGAACGTGAAATAAGGTTATTCTGGGAAATGTTTATAGAAGCGGTCTAGGATAGGGTAACACAGTGGTCACCTTCATGGGAATGAATGTACAGCTTCTGTAGCTATAAGGTCACTACGGCACATTCTAGAACACATCCATAATACACCTGCCAAATTGTACAGTCCTGCTTACCAGCACCACGTGGTCAAACTGCAGGACACTTATTATGCCTTTAAGACTCTTCCTCGATTGTAAAATTAAAAAAAAAAAGAAAGCTTTTTTTAAAGCCTAGACTAAATTAGGAATGCCTTACCATTTCCCTGTAGATCACGTATTAAAAAAAATATCATATTAAAAAATATATATACTTTTATTTGAGAAAGGACATTAGCACATTAAAGAAGAATTACATTTGCTAGGGGGCCTTTAAACTTATTTTCCTACATTCTCTACCACCTTAAGCCAAACCACTTGCACCACCTACTGTTAAATCTTGGGAACTGCAACCCAGCAACACGATGGACTCAGCCAGTGACTAACTACAGTACCATTGTAATTATATGAATGGTATCCCAGGTAGAGTTTGAAAGTAACAACAGGGAAAAATCTTATGAATTTTGTAATTCTGATGTCCTGGCTTTAGTATTATTATTATTAGTACATAAGGAGCATCACTACAGGTTTATGAAATGGTGGGGGGGGCTAAGCCTTTACTGGGGGGGGGGAGGGGGGGGGTCTGATGTTAATGGAAATGAAAGAGGACATGCTGTGTAAACTAATAAGTGTACATTTATTTGGGGGGGGGAGGCATTTTTTGTGGGGTAACCCTAGCAATGTCGCTGTACTACGTAATGAATAATATCTGCATTGATTAGTAAATTAACCACAAAAATGAATGAGTATGAAATTAGGGCCTGAATCAGTAACGGTGCAGCTTGTATAATTAGGGTCAGGGGATTTAGTGAGCTGAAGGAAACCAGAGGGTGAGATACAGGAGAAACGGAGCCGTATTTTATGAAATATCCGCAGCTGGATTCAGCATCTGCATTTGGCAAGAAGGGTGGGGGGGTGTTTGCTTACCTCCTTGGTGCTGTTGTCCTGCACCAGGCTGTACAGCGGCACCACGCGGTTCACCTCCAGCAGCTCCGGCGTGGGGCTGGGCAGCTCGCGGCCAGGCTGCCCACACAGGTGGCAAGCGGACGGGCAGCCACCCTTCTCCTGGCAGCGCACCTCCACCCCAGACACCAGGTCCCCTGCCAGCAGCGGTGTCTTCAGCAGGCCCGACACATAGGTGATGAAGGGCACCGACTTCAGCTCCCGCCGGCTGCCCAGGTCAGTGGTCTCTGTGAAATTCAATAAAATTATGACTTATACACTATTGCGAGCAACACTTCAAATCCAAGCACATTTAGTTAGCAGCTCATGAACACTAGGAATGTTGCTCAAATGGCTAATCAGACAAGTTTGGGATTCAAACCCACTAACATCTGATCATAGGTACAGAAGTCTAGGTACAGGTACGGGATCATAGGTACAGAAGCCCGCTGAGGCACATAACACCACCAAAGGCAAACTGCTGTCCCTGTCAGGGAAGCGAACTCTGGTCTTCCAAATGAAGGCAAGGACACGCAACAGCACACTGACGTACAGCATAGGGTGGAATATAAGTGAGACTGTGAGAGATGGAGAGGTTTTACAGTTAAACGGCATAATGCTACACCACCTTTTTTTTCCCTCACAAATCAACTGCGAGGTGCTTTGCGGAAAATGGCAGCAATAAAACTAATCATCTAACAAGCATGTGTGAGCTCACTGTCACAAACATGAATTATATATGGACCCAGAGAGAAAGGAGCCACAAAGACAGGGGTGAATTCAGGCAATGCGCATACCCAACACCACGTAATATATACTCATGCAGACTGAATGAAATCTCCCCTTTACATTGACTCGATTAATGTGATAGACGATAGTACACATGCATCATAGATGTGAAACAACAATAAACGTACTTTGACTTGACTTTATCTGTAAAAAAAATGTTTTTTTAAGATAGCTGTTTGTTTTAATGTAGGAAAGCGATGTCTTTTAGAACTAACGCTTGTATTCTACGATCATAAACTCAGAGCTACTCAAAACACTCAGCTCGCCTTGTCTGGAGAAAACCCATTTTCTGCACCCTCAGAAGAAGGTGGTAAATAGTTAAGACAGCATGATTTGCAAACATCGCCACACTCCTTTCACTAAAGCAACTCAAAGGTCAGTGTAAGTCATATTTGCATTAAACATGAGCACACAAGTTAGTGTAGAGAGTCTTAAGCAGTCTTACTACAACTGTAAGAAGATAAAACATCGGTATGATATTAGTATGGTATGATACATAGTTTGTCAGGTTAATATGCAAAAAACAGCCTGAGAGTACAGGCCGTACTGCAAGTGATGTCATATTGACAGTCAGGAGTCCATTCAAGATGCAGTCAGGCCTGAAGTACAGTCAGAAGCAATGCATTCTGGGATCTATTGAGTATGAGAGGAATTCTGCTGGCCCAAAGCTCAGGGAAGGTTAACTTCACAGAGGTGGTTTAAATACGTAAGGCTCAAATACTGCGTATTTACACAGGATAGCCTGAAGACGGACCTTCAGCTGCTGAGGGAGCGGAGATGTAAGGCAGAAACCTTGCTAACAGAGTTTTAAATATTTTCCTGCACGGGGGAGGGGGGGGGGACCATGTGTTGTGGAAGCAGATGGGGTCTGGAGTTTGGCAGTGCAGGCTGCGCTGCCGCTGTGGAGATGGGGCTGAGGGAGTCTCCCCTGAGGTCACCTCTGACCGGAGACGACACATTCGCAACAAGGCGACCGCACACACGGTCAAAACCGATGGAGGGGTCCACAGCGAGGACATGTTAGGGCATACCACTTGTGCAACAGCAGACGCATGGCTTCATGACAACATACAAATCACGCAAATGACACGTATGACTGTGGTACACTGCAGATTCACAGACTGTTCATTCACTGTAAAACACAATACAACTATTTTATCTATCTATCTATCTATCTATCTATCTATCTATCTATCTGTCTGTCTGTCTGTCTGTCTGCCTGCCTGTTTGTCTGCCTGTGTGATCAACAAATTCTTCTCCATTCAGCAGTGACTGTCACCCCTAGAATACTAATGAAGATCTGTAATACACACAACAGGTGAAAATAAAGGCATCACAATGAACAGTTTCCCCCCTGCAAAGACATGTGGAATGCAAACAGGCAGATGGGTGTCTCTAAAAAAGCGATGACAGTATGAGTGTTAGCCCTGCAATGGACTGGCATCCTGTCCTGGACGTTTTCCCGGTTTTTCACCCCCATGCTAATTGAGATAGGCTCCTCCTCCCCCCCAACCACGAAATGAATATGGCTGAAAGAGGGATGAACAAAGAATGCAAGGGCACATTTGTTCTGTCGTTCTCTTGTCGACCTAGCAGATGTGCAGAGTTGAGCACCTATGAGCATAATGGACTGTGTGGAGTCTTCGATCCCATTGGCTGCACCAGCCAGCACCCCCCAAACCCCCCGCCTCACCATGTAGCGCATTCTTTCAAATCGCGGCACTCCTTCGTAAGAAAAACAACAAAAAGGGAACAAAAACAAATAAAGAGACGTGTTTGGTATTTCAGTCGTACAGCTTGCAGACCGGTGGTGATGACGGGATACTGGAGAGAATCTCCCTCATGCTTCATCTGTTCCCCCCCCAAACAAACAAATGCTCCTCTGGTGGTTTCAGGGGGAGTACTTGCTTGTGAGAAAACATGTATTACTCACGAGCCCCCGGGTGAACTGGAGTAACAGGCACGAGACCAAGGTCGACCTAGCGGCCTGTCTCTGACTCCATGCCATGGGGCCGGATGCTCGCCGCAGTACTTTCCGGAGCATCTGATCTTTTTTTGAGATCCGCCAAGGTGGTGGAGGGTGATTACGTGAACCTGGGGGGCTTCCCTGGCACACGGCTCCACATCCGCTCTTTGTGGGAGGAACGCTCAGTTTTTGGCTCATTTGTTAGACACTAATTACGCGACTTCCAAAACGGCAGCAGCGGCACATGGGACGTCGTGTCAAGCGATTTGACTTTCCCCGCTGGTGTTCTGAGACCGAGCATCGCACGTTTTCAGGGTTTTACCCGACTGTTGTACTCTCGGGAAAGTCGTTAACTGAGGGAACTAGATTGTTGTTTTGGCCATAAATCCAGATGATGAACCATTCTGGTCTCTGCTGCCTCCTTCTTGATAAACAACTGGTCGGTATGTGCCACCCTATTGTTGAGAAATCAGTGTCATCTAGCACTGAGTCAAAATGTAATGCATTTTGTGGTCTTACAAAAAATGTGTTAAAATCCCAGGAATGGCAGTAAATGAACACGTACCAATTTACTCTCTTGGGGAAACTGCATACATCTCTTTGCGTGTAGGCATCTGTTAGACTGAATATTTTATTAATGTGGTACATAAACAGCCACTGCCACTGCAATCTCAGCCTGCAGTTTAATTTCAGTGGATGTCCTCGAGTTGCAGTTGGACGCGCTAGACCTATCCACCGCTGTGAACTACTGGCTACCATTTCGATGCTCTCATCCCAAAGGTTTCCGTCGAGTGCCATTAGCGACGTACGCATCCGGACTCCATCGGTTAGTATCAGTCCGGAAAGCAATCTGTGCTTTTTATCAACGAACGCCCTGCATAAAACTGCTTAGTGCTTTTCCACGGACGGCAGACGATTGGGGAAATGCAAACGCAGGGGGAATAAAGTCTGAGAACGAAAACATACACTGAGCGGCTCAGAGAGAAAAATTCGGGCCAAACAGATGTGCATAAATAATTTTTAAAAATGCACACAGCACCTGCACGTGTCATTACGTACCTTACTTTAATACCTTATACATTACGGGGGAAATTCCTGTCTTTCATGGAAACGTGCCGAGTTTGACTCAAGGCGCAACAAGGAAAAAAAGTATTTGATATATTTGAAACGCAACAGAAATTATAATCGGAAAAATGTCTCTTTGAATTTCACTTTGCGTCCACAGGGGACATGTCTAATTGATAGCGGATATTTGCAAAACGGCATTCTCTAGCTATGCGCAAACAAACCCGCTAAGTTGAGAGGAAGGGCAGACATTATTGGAGAGAACAGAATTTCCTCCTAAGAATTTATAATGGAATTATGCAATTTCATTCCTTAGCCATTTGCTTATGAATTCCCCTCCGCTGCTGCGGCTTGACAGATTCATCAGAACAATTATATTTCCTGCCCGCAGCCTGCCACTGAAAATTTACGAAGGTGGCATTTTGCTCTGAAGTAGCGTCAAGATATGCAAAGGGTGTAATCAATAGTTACGAGAGTAACTCATAGCCTAAGTGCAAATGTCTGTTCTGAAGTTAGAGATCATTCGAACTACCGCAGACTTTTCTGTAGAAACAGTAAGGGGTATGAAATACATATAAATGAATGTTAAGAATGTCTGTCCATTTGAGACAAACACATTGCCAAACCAATATTCTGGACATTCCCCCAAAAATCCATCTATCGAGCCATTCGCTTTCTATGATCTCACAGCCGATTACGCGTATGGTAATCTGCAGCTAATTCTAGAGGGCAGTGCACCCCCTACAGAAGGTAGTAGTGCATTACAGGCCACTCTGTCTCATGCATTTTTTCACACAGTAGGTTCATAGACGAAGTGCAGTTGAAGACATTAATGTGCTGGAATAGCGTGTTGTTAGGAGTTTGCAGGGGAAATTAATATTATTTCAGCTGAGTTAGGCGGAGCTGGTCTCTGATACGATATATAGTGCAAAAATATAATGTGTTTCAAATGGTGTGCCTCACCGGAGCCAAATCTACAGCAAGAGGGCGCTCTGCTTACATTGCAGCGAACCAGAAGAGCTTCTGGCAGCCAGAGAGAGAAATTCTCTCGGGAGAATTTTCCTGAGAATCAAGGACGTCCTGATCCCAGAGAATATCATCCTTGTTTATTGACTCCAACTGTTGTTGTTGTTATTATTATTATTATTATTATTATATAATAATAATAATAATAATAATATCTATTGTGAGAATCGTTCCAGTTATGGATCTAAGGCATGATAATTTAAAAATATACTGTCAATAACAAGAGGCACAATGCATGTTTATGTCACCTTTAGACCGTGGTCAATGCAAAAATAGATTCAGATTCTAAGATTCAGTGCACATTTCCTGTCATATCTGACTAATATAACGTCACTGAGGGATGGACAAAATGAGCTGACCCTTTCAGGGGTGACAGTGCCCCTGTTTCAGAAGAGAATGATCTATCACAGCGGAAACATGTGGACGGCTGGGAAACTGCAACATAAGCACTCAGTATATCTATGTTTTTAAATAATTTTTCAGGGAATGGGCACTGCTTGGCCTATAGCAAGCATTTAGGCTGGATATTTACAAAGACCAACAGATACTATCCACGGGTAACATGCCCAGGCCTGAATATGACAGATCTGCTGTTAGGGACTTCACCATTACAGAAGCAGGACCAAGAATGGTGAGGACTAGCTGAGTATAATCTTCAGACGACGGAAATTCATCTGAACAGCTCCCTAACCTTTGCCCACCTTATTAAAAATATCTACTAATTAAGGCAGGTAGCATAGAGAACTGTATTTATTAGGACAGATACTGTTGAGCACATTGTGGGATACTTTTTAGGTATTTAGCAAGAAAGGATATTCCTGTTAAGAATTGGAATTTATTATACATATGTATGTATGTATGATAAGCTTTCAGACAGAGTGACAAAGCTGCAGCCAAGTTTTGAAAATCCAACCTATTTCATGCTCGAGACCCCACTCTGTTAACATAACTGGACCCATTAGGCACACTGGGTATTGTATTCAGTTGCATTATGGGATAGGACTTTGGTGACTGACAAACGAGTGTCATGTTACTGAATGCTGAGCCACAATGAGCGGTAATTTAAAAGCTCAGCCCAAAACACAAAATATAAAGAAAGGCACGATCTGACCTATCAACCATTACTGAATTTGAACCTGTTTCTTTCTCCATATTATAATTAAGGCATGTATTTTCCAGTGATATAACAAAGATTAGTAAAAATGTGTTTTTCTATAAAAAATATAAATCACCTTTAAATTAATTTCTTTGTTTTATAGATGTCTAAGCTAAATCTTGTCTTCAAATAAACACTGCACTATACAGTCAATTATCAAGAAAGACCAGTTCAAAAAGCACAGACACCGTACATTACCACACAATCGCAAGAAAGACACTACTACATATATTATTGAGGCAGCTAAATATTTAAGCGGTTGCCGTGACTATGGTGACATCTTGCGTCAAAGCGCAACTAAAACACTTAATGTAAAATAGTATACTGAAATTTAAAAATGGCTTTTATTAACCAGAGTTACGGTGAAATGTAATCTGAATATATATATGTGTGTGTGTGTGTGTGTGTGTACACACACACACACACACACACGTTTAATATATACAGTATGCGTATATGTATACACACGCACACACACACACACACATGTAGGGTAAACATATCCTTATGGGGACCGCTCATTCATTTCAATGGGAAAAATGCTAACGCTAACTATGACAACCTTAACCCCCACCCTGCCCTAACCATAACCATAAGTAACCTAACAAAATACAAGAGTTTTTGCATTTTTAGTTTTTTCATAGCAGTCACCGATTTTTATAAAATAAAACCAGGAAACCGGTCCCCATAAGGGAAAAAAAAACGGATATTTATCGCGTTATGGGGACATTGTGTCCCCATAAGGATAGGTAAACCCGCTCACACACACACACACACGTTTAAAACAAACCATTCCGGGAACAGTTAAAGCCAATACTACTATGAACTTCATATACCATAAACCCTTAGTACAACCCAAAAGGGAACCGATTTGATGTGACTTTCATCGACTGGCACCGCAACCAATCAGATTAAGAGACTGAGCAAACTGCGTTTAGCTACACCAATGAAATAGAAAGGGGGCGGGGATTATATTCTCGGCAATATTACATCACAAGTAAAGCCGCAGTCCTGCTCGGCAGCGGTATTCCGGAGGCGCGTCTTACTACTTGGAAGATCTGACATTGAAGAGAAGGTAAGAACGGTTCATAAAAAATGACAGCCGGATGACCCTGTTAAAAACACCGCATTAACATCTCGATAGCAGGCAGGGCGTTAAGGTTTTTGACCGACCCGACCGCCCTAGTAGTTTTAATTTCGCGAAGGCCTCCCGACTCCCTGTCTTGCAGTGTAGCATTTCTGTGACTGTTTTCATAAATATATGTTCTGGGCAGTATGTTTGTTTAATTAATACTATGAAAAATTTAAAAGCGTCTCATTTATTTCCCGTCGCAGAATATTTCGGTTCCCTGCAACTTTGTATAGACACTACATATAAAGCTATTAGCCAGATGCTATACCCCCCCCCTCCCCAATAAATAAATAAATAAAAAAATACCGGCCGTTATTATGCTAAAAATACGGCTTCTTGGCTTTAACAGTGTTTCAGGCTGGTCGGGTTACGCCTGCACAGTGATAAACTGTAACTAGTTAATAGTTTATACTAGTTATTATAAAGCATATGTGTATTAAATAGGCATCAGCCACCCTTGTGCTTATGCTGTCTAGGTAACGCTAGGCATAACATTGCCGATTTGACAGTCAAAACTCTTTCCAGAAATTCCGATCTTAAATGAGTGACAGGCAATGACTGCTGTCACACGGAGATATTTAAGGCAACGAAGTGTTTATTTTGGTCAGTAACGGTTTTCCTTTGGCACACGTGGTATATGGGTCCTCACACTTGAACCTGCAGGTTCCAGGCGTGCTAAGATGGCCACGGCAGCGACCCTGGACCCGGATTTCGTGCGAGAGGTGCTGGAGTGTCCCATCTGCCTGGAGACGTACAATCAGGAGCAGCTGCGGCCGAAGCTGCTGCAATGTGGCCACACGGTGTGCCGGCAGTGCCTGGAGAAGCTGCTGGCCAGTACCATCAATGGCGTGCGCTGCCCCTTCTGCAGCAAGGTGTCCCGCATGAGCAGCATCTCACAGCTGGCCGACAACCTAACTGTGCTGAAGATCATCGACTGTGCCGGCTCTGGTGTGGCAGCGGCCGCAAACCTCATGTGCAAGTCCTGCCGGGGCCGCCTGCCCAGGCGGTACTGCTGCGATTGCGGCCTGGTGCTGTGCGAGGCCTGTGCCGGTGACAGCCACCGCAACCAGGGCCATGACGTGCAGACCATCAGGCTTGCCGCTGAGCAACGGCGCCGCGATCTGGGCGGCAAGCTGGCTGCGCTGCGCGACGCCATGGGGGACATTCAGCGAAAGAAGGCAGCCATCGACAGTGTGTCCAAGTCACTGCGGCTGAAGTACAAGGCCGTCCAGCAGGAATATGCCCGGGCGGAGCTGCGGCTGCAGGAGGAGTTGGGCCGCTCACGCCGGGCCTTCTCTGCCTCCATGGCAGAGGTAGAGAAGCTCAACGCGCAGATCCTGGAGGAGCAGACCTACCTGCTCAACATTGCAGAGGTGCAGGTGGTCTCTCGCTGCGACTACCTTACCATGCGCATCAAGCAGGCGGACATCGCCCTACTGGAGGACGCTAGTAGCAACGACGAGGAGGAGCTGGAGCTCAAGGGCCAGCTGCCCACCATCCTCAAGCTCCAGGACCCGGAACTCATCAAGGCCGAGTACCCCAAGGCACTCGAAGTGGGACAGCTGACCACCAAAGGGTGCACGGTTAACACGGACGAGGAGGATGGGCAGGAGCTGGCGGCTGCTGCCTCCGCCGCTGTCCCTGTGGACCTGTACCGTGACATCGACATGATCGCCGCCGTGGAGGACAGCGTGTGCTCCTCACCCGGCAGCTTCAAGTCCAAGTCTGTGGACGGAGGTGGGGCCTCGGCAAAGACAACAGTCTCCGGTTCCAGTTCTGGGCCGCAGCTTTGCCAGTTTGTGAAGAAGATGGGCTGTAAGGGAAACCTGCCGGGCATGTTCAACCTGCCTGTGAGCATCTGCGTCACGCCGCAGGGCGAGGTACTTGTAGCTGACCGTGGCAACTACCGCATCCAGATCTTCAACCGCAAGGGCTTCCAGAGGGAGATTCGTCGCAACCCTAGCAGCATCGACAACTTCGTGTTGAGCTTCCTGGGTGCCGATCTGCCCAACCTGATCCCGCTCTCCATTGCCATCACGCCGCAGGGCCTCATTGGGGTCACGGACAACTATGACAACTCTGTCAAGGTGTACACCGCAGACGGCCACTGCGTTGCCTGCCACAAGAACCAGCTCATCAAGCCTTGGGGCATTGCTGCCATGCCCTCTGGACAGTTTGTTGTCTCTGACGTGGAGGGGGGCAAGCTTTGGTGCTTGGCAGTAGACCGAAACATGGGCGTAGTGAACTACAACCGCCTGTGCTCCGCGGTGCGGCCCAAGTTCGTGACCTGCGATCCGTCCGGCACGGTGTACTTCACCCAGGGTTTGGGGCTCAATATCGAGAACCGGCAGAACGAGCACCATCTGGAGGGGGGTTTCTCCATCGGCTCGGTGGGCACCGACGGCCAGCTGGGCAAGCAGCTCAGCCACTTTTTCTCCGAGACTGAAGACTTCCGCTGCATCACCGGCATGTGCGTGGACGCCAACGGCGACCTGCTGGTGACCGACAGTGGCCGCAAGGAGATACTGCAGTTTCCCAAGGAGGGAGGTTTCAATATCCTCATCCAGGAGGGCCTGACCTGCCCCGTGGGTGTGGCCGTCACCCAGAAGGGGCAGCTGCTGGTTCTGGACTGCTGGGACCACTGTGTGAAGGTGTACACCTACCTGCAGAGGCGGCGCTCATCTACATGCTAGAGGGTCTGCTTCCATCTGTATCTCCCTGGTCCGGCTTGATCTCCCATTCCAAGACTGAATTCGAAGCCCCCAGACCACCGCCCCCCCCACCCCACCTCTAAGTGTGTAAATTGCTTACTTGCTGTTCTGGTGTCAATGGGCATCTGAAACACGGCTACTGGAAGCATTAAAAAGCGGGCCTGTCTGCCGAGTGGCTCTCCTCATGGATGGTTCTGTATTTTTTCTTTTTTAAATCACTGCGATGCCGAGAGCAATAACTTGAGTGTGGATTTATTAGGAGAAACACGGTATTGACTGTCCACCTGTGTCTCACACTACTGTTTTATAACTTCTACACATTACAAATGTGACTTAAGTGGAAAAAAATAATGAGAATAATAAATTTAATTAAGAAGACAAATCAAATTTGATATGGGATTTTCAGGAAATGCTCCTGTGTCTGGAACCAAATATATTTCACATTTTGAGGATGCTGCTTTTAAATATGCTGTCACCCCTTTCCACTGTGTTATGCATTGTGTGTGTGTGTGTGTGTGTGTGTGTGTGTTTTTCCCTCCACATGCCGTCCAGCATCCCCTTTACAAGAATATTTCCCATCTTTCCTGGAAAATCCAGGTGCATTGGTGCAATTTCTTAAATGAAATCTTCATTTTCCTGTCGGTCATTAGAGCCGTTTTTTTCTTTTCTTTTTTTTTTTAAAAAGATATATTGTAGTACCAGTTGGAAAAGATGACATGCAATTCAGATAATTACATCCATGTGCGTTATACATGCACACATTATATAAAAATACTACACTGCATTAACAAGTGTTTGTCCGTAATCATGCAGTGCGTTGCTGTTTCTGTGGTTTTATTTCATGCAAATTAATGTTCCCACTTCAACTTTAATTTTTTTCATTGCTAGAACACAACTTACGCTTAATCACCAAAAGATGTAAGCTTCTGGGCTTAGATCACCAGCATGCTAAGTGTGTCACTGCAGTATTTTTCAGACCCTTTCCAATCAGCATAAACATCCTTGTCACGTTTGAAGACGACGCAGCTGTTTTTCCCAGTGTCTGCACAGTGGATCGCTGTTTATGTAGAAATAGCGTGGGGATAAGAGTGCCCAAGGAAAAAAAAAAACTAAGGAAAATTCTTTGTTTAAAAAACTGTTTTTATTGTTATTTTTGATATGAGTTCAGCAGTATTTTCATGAGCTGTGAGACCTTTTATTTTACTTTGTTTTGGTTATTGTCCATCCCCCAAGAAAATGGAAGAGGCTGTGGACTGTTGATGCTAAAATAAGTGTTGTACGTATCGAGTCTCCGTTAGAAATTTGAAATATTTATTATCTGTTAATTGTAATAAACTTCACATTAAAGGGTTTATGTTGTTTTTTTTTTTTTTTTTTAAAAAAAAAAAAAAACTGTTTGGGCATCTTAAAGCTATTAGCTGTGTTATGAGGTATCTTTATTATTATTATTATTATTATTATTATTATTTTTACCTTCTGTGTGTGGGTCTCTTCCACCCCATGCAGTGAGTGACTGTGTGCACCAGTTGTGCGTGTGGGATGCATAGTTTTTTGCGAGTGTGCAGCTAGGTCCAGGTGTACTCACACGCAACCACTGCTGGGCATTGCAATAAAGCACAGTGCCTTAAAGCAGTCACACTGCGGCTCGACACACGCTGCTGTTCCATATTATGTAGCTGGAGCTGCCTGGATTTGTACTCCTCCTGTAAAGCTCATTCTCCCAATTCATACAGGCTTCTGACCTCACAGGCTACCATAACACTGTTGTTAGAAAGTTGTTCGCCCTTAGGGCTGCAGTTTCAACTCTGCTGCACCATCAGACATTGTTGAAAAATGAAAGTTTTAAAAAGAAAAAACTACTATTAAATGCAATCCACTACTTACTGAAGGAATGAGGCATTGAAACATCCAGCTGGCAGGGATACAGATTATCCAATGGGAAGCAGCCTGTGACTGACAGGTCACAGTAGCCCCACCTACCATTGATTTTGAAGCCTTATTTTTTCATCATTAATAACCTTCTGGTACTACTGCCTGAAGGGCCTTCCCTCTCACCCACTACTCGCCTTTTATGTCAGTATCGACTCTGACACAGCTGTGTGTGGTGATTTTCTTCCTCACCGTCCCTGTTTGGGCCACAGTGAAATACAAACGGCAGCGGACAACCTGATATGTCTCCAGGCCTTAATTTATTTTTTACAAATCTGTTGTTTGGCCTGTGTAACCTGCAATTTCTGTTTTTATTTATGGGGTTTGAATTGGTCTAATATTGGTGCAATGTTCCCATGCTGTGAAAGCATCAATACCAGACATTGACTGACAAACCATATAACTCATAGCGTCTGTTTTTACAGCATGTGTTGCCATACTGGTAAAGAGTCCTCAGGCCTATAATATCATATATGATTTTATCTGGAGATATTTTTATGTCCACAGCTTTGCATTATATCCATATAATGATCAAGAGGGCAATGTGTGGCTTAGAGCCCTGTGCCTGTGGTCGGAAAGTCGTCGGTTCAAATCCCAGGATCGGCAGAGTGATGTGAAATATGGACCCCCGAGAAAGATCCTTAACCTCCAATTCTTCCAGGGACCGCATGATCCTACTTTATAAAAAGATATGTCGCTTTGGATAAAAGCTTCTGATAAATAAATAAAATTCATAAGCTATACTATGAGAAATAATTTTTAAAACCCCCTTGTGTAATAAGTGCTGTGGTGAATTGATCCTTACCTGGGATGCTGGACATACCCAGTCCGTCCCACGGCATTCAGACCCACACATTCACTCAGGGTTGCGGCACCATTTTCAAAATCAAACTCAGTGCTTTTTAATAATCTTCAGCTGGACCCCAGCAAAGAAAAAATAATACCATTGTGTGTGTGCAAGAGAGAGAAAAGAAAGAGAGAGCAAACCAGACAGGTTATTTGTCCCTGTGCAGTAGCCCTGCAAGGCCAAATCTCTCGAGAGCCCATTTATACACAAAAATTTTGAAAAATCAGGGAAATCTTCCAGAATTTCAAACAAAATTGGGTGATTTACAGCCTTTTAAAGGTGGCAGGCACAAATTGGGATTTCCGGACACAGAAATTTGTGAAAAACACAAACGTCAGATTAAGGTGAAAGAGTCTTTTTTATTATCATTAACCACACAGTACGTAGATCTGGCCAATGTTTTTGAATCTGGGTTAAGACTCCAAGTAGGACGTTTTAGTGGACTTCCAGTTTTTTTTCCCCAGTTTTAGCCAATTTTGAGAAATGAATTATAAATATGTGCCATTTGCCTGCTCTCACCAAATCTTCCCTATCATATTTTCCGTCCGACCTTTTGAGGCGTTCTGCTCCGAAACCACAGGAGGCGGTAGAGAGTGCTATTTTAACCAAATAAGAGAATACAGATAAAAGAACCAAAATGCAAATATAAGCAGAAAGCTGTTCAGAAATGCTTGGCTTTTTAAACCATATATGGTACTATTATATAATACCATTATTATAATGTATAGGACCCAATATGAGTCAACCCTCAGAGTCTCCGTGGGTGAAAAATTAATGAACTTTTACTGAACAGTTGTTATAACTGCTGCTGTATTATTATGACTAATCTGCAAAAACGGAATAAATTATTCGGATAACATATGTTATATTTTTTTCTTATATACATATGATTATTCAATTGGTCATTATGCAATATCTCAGAACTTCTCAGACATTTTTTTAATTTAAACGATGAAAATCTTTTTTTTATGGGATTTTAGGACCTTTTAAGGATCCACAGGAACCCTGTCACTCACCCCGCTGATGCTGGGTCACCAGAATCGTATGATCTCTGGGATGGCGTGCACATACACGAGGGGAACTCTGTATACCACAAAACAGATTCAAACCTGCATCCGTGATGGTACTGTGCGTGTGCGTGTCGCAGTACTGTGCTTGTCGCAGTACTGTGCGTGTGCGTGTCGCAGTACTGTGCGTGTCGCGGTATTGTGCGTGTGTGTGTCGCAGTACTGTGCTTGTCGCGGTACTGTGCATGTCGCGGTATTGTGCGTGTGNTGTGCGTGTGTGTGTCGCAGTACTGTGCTTGTCGCGGTACTGTGCATGTCGCGGTATTGTGCGTGTGCGTGTCGCAGTACTGTGCTTGTCGCGGTACTGTGCATGTCGCGGTATTGTGCGTGTGCGTGTCGCAGTACTGTGCTTGTCGCGGTACTGTGCGTGTGTGTTATTGTGCGTGTGCGTGCCGCAGTACTGTGCTTGTCGCAGCTGAAGCACATACATAAGGTGGAAAGACGCTGTGTTTCTCCGCATTTGTTAAAGGTGCAAGTGACTCTTCAGTTATTAGTCAGATATCTGTTTCTTAAAGCATCCATTCTGGGGCCATAATTCATAGAAAGGGGCCACAACCTTGAATCAGCAAATGACAGTGGAGTGCACTCTGTGGGCCAACCAGCTTCCAGCTGGTGCCAGTGCCCCCATAGCCCCGCCCCTGTGTACGCCCCTCGATCCGTTTTAAACAGAAAACCCTGAAAACGTGGCCTCTTCATCGTCAGAAACTGGGGCAGATGTCACCCAGATCTGCAGACTCCTGACGCACGGGGTTGCTGAAGTGCCTCTTTTCAGCTCTGGCCCAAACATGCCTGGTCATCGCCTTTCCACGGGACACAGCTGCCCCTCGGTGGAGAGCGACCATCAAGTAAATTAACTGCCCTACTGAGACCTCGGGTGTGTGGAGAGCATTTCCAGTGTGGAGCACTGGGAAAAAGCGGCGGGCCGATGCCAGCATGAGCGAGCCAGGTGACTCTGAACCAGGATTATTATTATTCATAAAAACTGAAACCATAAGATAACATTTTCGTAAACTGCAATGAAAAATACAAAGGTAAAATAAAACACTAAAAACGAAAACTATAAATACTGCTTCCAAAACAAACTGAAAGTAAATAAAAATAAATGTCAAATTCTTTCCATTACAGTGTTTTAATACCATATATCTTGATATAAATCATTCAAGGAAATGAATTCCAGTATATTGGAAAAATGTTTTGTGCATTTTGGGTACATAATGTGCATTTATGTAGGAATCGCTGAAGATCAGACACATAAAATAGCTCTACAACTATCAGTCTATCCCTAGAAATAAAATTACTAAAAATAAAATATTTAAAACTAAATTGAAATTTTTTAAACCTTTAAAATAAAAATGAATAAAAAGTAATACAACAAAACTGAAAATGATCTAAAACTAAAGTGAACTTCAAATAAGAATTGAAAATAACATAAAAATGAAAACAACATAAAAATGAAAACTAAATTTAAAAAATCTGTACTATACTAACACTACTGTGATGTCAGCTACCCTCCTGGACCGTGGACGTTCTGAGAGCACCTGCTCAACCCCAGTGACTCCTTACCTTTCTGGTACTGAAGCCAGAGCTGCTGCTGGGACTTCTTACTGGGGAAGTAGACGGTGCAGGTCAGTTCGGAGCCGTACAGGGCCTCGGACACGTAGTGGGTACCGTACTGCTGGATGAAAGACAGCATCTCGTCGCGTGTGCTGTCTGAGTTCAGGGTCTTTAGGACCTTGGAGAAACCTGTGGGGCCAGGTTGGCAGAGTGACATAACCGAGTGATTATTGACATGGTCATAGAAAGGCACGCCCTCGAACCTCGGTGGCTGAGGACGCTATTGAACGTAAGGTTGCTGGTTCAAATCCCAAGGTTAGCAGAGTGATTTCACTGTTTGGCCCTTAACTCCCCCAATTGCTCCAGGGACTGGCTGACCATACTTTCTTAAAAAAAACAAAAAATGTATGTCACTTTGGATAAATGCATCCGCTAAATAAAGTGTAAAAAAAAAATTACAAAAACAAGACGTTAAACATCATTAGGGAGTGAGCCATCGGGAACAGAACTTAGCGACTGAATATATTTTATTTTTCCGTATATTTTATGTATAGCCCTGGTGACCCTGTGCAGGGTAAGTGGGTGGAATTCATAGCACATTACATGCAATCCCCCCCTTTTATGGATCTGAATACCTATCAGTGTAATGCAGGTGGAGTGCCCTACTCCAGCGTGCAAACTGCAGGACACCTCCAGGGACTCGGCAGAGCAGACCTCGAACCAATGAACTATCAGTAGCTCTAGATTTTCCTTTAAAGGCATGTATAAGAAAGCCTACCACACCATGATTGACATGCGTACATGAATACATGAGTAAGGGATGTGCAGACAGGCAGCACTGGAGCGGCGTACCTGTGGACAGCGTGATGGCGCTCAGCTTCACCTTATACAGGTTGCTGCGTACCCTCCACTGCTGCACCATGGGATACCCTGTGGCCTCGCTGAACTGGGCGTCTCCTGCACAAAGGCAATCAGTCAGTCAGTCAGTCAATCAATCAATCAGTCCACCTGTCTATAGTTAACGTTCTAGTAAGAGAGAGAGATCAACTTTATTATACCGCGGCTCTGTTGAGTTCTTGGATTTGATTGGTCTGAAGAGGGGGGGTTGCTTAATTGTCTATAACCACACGTAGTGCCGGCCAGGCAAGTCACAGGAGTAAATGAATGAGAGATTATAATCTTTAATTCCAACTAATGTTACTTAAAATTCCAGTGGAAGGTCACAATTTAAAAGAAACGAAAACTAAAGGGAGATGTTTAATCACTGGTGGAAAAAAGCAGTTCTATTAATGAACACATTACCGTGAAAACAATGTCTTTTGGTACAAAAGTGAAAGCCAATTGTGTGGTAACTATGGTATATGGTATGGCTTTTTTTTTTTTGGGGAGGGGGGTCACCCTCTGTTTGTAGAGTTCAGCAGCTTGCAAGTGACACCCATGTCAGAGCCTAACTGTGATCGCCAGCCGCCATCAAATAATGCAGTCATGTGGTCACGGCTTAGCCCGCCCTTCTGTCGAGCTGAGTTTTTATCTAAGCGCATAAACGGAATAATACGGGATGGTCTGCTCATCCAAATCCTGCAAAGCGCGGAAATAAGCAGGCGCCTAATCACTCGTGCTTCTGAATCAGGGGCCTGGACGTGAGCTTCCTCCAGCGTCGTGGGGATGGATCTGAGCGCTTGCAAGCAGGGAAAATGAAATGTAGCTATACAGTATGTACATCTTCTATTCTATACCCCCGGCCCAGTGTGTGTGTGTATATATATATATGGACACACACACACACACACACACACAGGGTGTCACTTGTTTATATATATATAAACAATTCTTCCGCTTGCTTTTATCCCTAAATAAAAGAACGGGTGATAATGCTATGTAGTAACAATCAAGGAGGATTTAACCGAAAGTCATATTGATGCCCTTTAAGCTGAATACAGGAGGCACTTTATTCTCCAACCGAATCCTTTTTAAAAGCGAATCGTTTAATTACAGATCTCTGAATGTCAGCGATAAGCCAGCCAATGAAACATGAGAGAGGAGTTTATCAGGCACGTCCCAGACGGCCCCGTGCCGTGGAAGGATGAAAAGACCACCGCCGGGTCTCTCATAGCGACTGTCGCCCCGCGCAACGTGTCGTGGCTTATTCCACCGACAGCTGCGTCGAGCCAACTTCCTGCGTCCCGGGTCCCCATGCCGCCTCTCGCTCCCAGGGCGAGTGCAAAAGTGTTTCGGGTCAGATATCAGATGGGGTGGGGCCCGTGACCGTGAGACCGCGCAGGCAGTGTGTGGGGCACCACAGGGAAAATCAGCCATGTCTGCGACGATTAGGCCTCGCTCGCCACCTGTTCCTGCTGCGAAAAATACACAGTCCCTGATCGGACACACGGACTGAGAAATCACCTCGTTTTTACATGTTCCTTCCTATTTTTACTTGCTGCCAGGTGGTCAAGTTTGCATAAAGGCAAAGTTTCACAAAAAAAGTCATAAACAGTAGCAAAAACAACAAAAAATGGCCGACAGAGCGATGACTGCAGCGTTCTGTGAAAAAAACTGCTTACATCTGATGGGGATGAGACATTTCCTGCTATCAGGATCAAATTAATTTATTTACTTTGTTTACACTCTAGTTGAGTAACCACCAAAAACGCACACACAAACACACATGCATGTGCAAAGACACACGCTTATGTTACATTTGCGTTTATTTATTTATGGGCAGGTCAATGTACAAGTGAGGCGGGTGATAGTCAGCCTGGGAATATTACACCCACACACACACACACCCACACACACACCCACGCATACACACACACACACACACCTACACACACCCACGCATACAAACGCCCACGCATACACACACCCTCACACACATACACCCACGCATACAAACGCCCACGCATACACACACCCGCACACACAGACACACCCACACATACACACACCCATGCATACACACACCCGCACACACACACACCCACGCATACAAACGCCCACGCATACACACACCCGCACACACAGACACACCCATGCATACACACACCCGCACACACAGACACACCCATGCATACACACACCCGCACA